GGAAGGGAAGATAGATAGATAGATAAAAAGTGAAATAAGCTGTCAAAGAGAAAAGAATATTGGAAATAAAAGAACGAAAAAAGAAAGGAGCAAAACTGCTCAAGAATATAATTTCATGAATACACGTTTAAAATAAAAAGAAATATAAACTATAAGAAGAAATGTAATAAACAATTGATTATTAATAATTGACAATTACTTTCATACAAGAAAAATAACACGACGTAGAATAAAGAAGTCCAAAATCACTTTCAAGTTTGAATAGCGCACACAGGAATTATTGAATGGACCTTATATGTCAGAATATCATTTGAAAGCTGATGTTGTCTTGAATTTGACAAAAGCGGTTTTATATAGTATGCATGCACTTTAAAGGCTTTGTCAAGTTTAACTAAGTTTCACTTGCACCGCTCGACTTACTGTACCCTCAGATCCATACACTTGACATTATATATATATTACGTGTTGACAAGTCTAATAACATTTACCATTTATTGATATATCTGTTTAAATTGTGCACCTTTGCATCGGTGGTTAAAGATTTACTGTGATATAAATAGTCAATATAGGTGGACAGATGGCGAAGAGGCACGAACACCTGAACCCCATGACGCCATAAGTGACGCAGATGAAACTAGATTACTCGCTAGTTTTCTTTTGTAATTTATACATAGTACTAGTATAGACTTCTTCGATGATTAGACCTATTTACCTTCGTTGTTTGTTGTGCACATTCCAGACCATGTGACGCCACTCTTGGGAGTTGATTCTTTCATGTGTAAATATTTTAACATGTTCATAAAAGAACAACTCTCAAGGGAATGTCATGTGATCTGAAATGGGCAATTTGCATACGAAGCGGGTAAATGGGTCTATTATCTGGTAAGTCTTTACTAATTAACTATGTCTAACTGTGAAAATGTCGGTGCCGTATGCGTGCCTTGCTGCGACCTTGATGTTTTCTAGAATTTTGATAGGGCGAATTTTTTTCGTGCAAAATAATTGGTCTGGCAGTGACGTGACCTTGGAATGACCGTGTCTTTACTGTGTTCATGCCGTGTTTCGGACATATGATTGGATAGAGAGTAAATTCTCGTGCAATGTGATTGATCTGGCGTATGCCTTTTCGTGTCACGACCGTGTTCGTACCGTGAGCTTTTCACAATCATAAGAAAACTGCTATAGGATGGTTTAGATAAAGCACGGCCCTCAATCACGAAACCAAGCCGTGACACATTGGTCCGCATCATCAGGGCACGAAAACATACATATAAGCCGAAGTTATCAAGCTATTAGTGTTAATCGTACCGTAATTAGTTAAGAATAGCCAAATCTCTGTTAAATCTTTTACGTGGGCTATTATAAATTGCAGTTTTAGTATTTCTCCTCAGATATCAAAATATTTTTTCCGGGTTCTGCATTATTAATTCAAATCCAAAAATATTGACAGGCGCATGAAGCCAGAACACGGAGGAGATTTTTGGAATGAGATTTAGGAAAAATTCTATGATCGATACAAAAGTGATACTGATTTCTGATTAAGATTAAGATCTTTTGCCAATATCTTTAGATTTATTTTTTGGCCTAACAAACCAAGTTTGGACGCGGCACAAATAGACTGTTTTCTCGAGGTTGCGTGCGCATCCAACTTGAAGGGCCACAAAACTGAAAAACACAAATTCCATAAAATTGAGAAGACAGTTTTTATATTTAAAGAGAATAATAATAGTAATAATAATAATAATAATAATAATGATAATAATAGAATAATAATTCTTATCAAAAAAATTTTCATAGCATTGCATGATAATACTCGTTTCCTGGTATCGTGGCCYGTCAATTTCCTTAAATTTGGAATGCGTATAGTACGCAACCTTGAGGAAACGGTCTATTATAAGTATCAAGCCTTGTTTTGACTTCAAGATGGCGGATGTGTGAATATGGTGAATTACTAAAAAGAACGGCCTTTCAGAAGTGGATCCAGGATCTTAGAAGGGTGGTGACTATTACAAAGGTTTTGACAGGAATTCGAGGGAAAGGGAGTGATTGTTACTAACGATATACTGAGAAATTTGAGCAAAATAGGCTGTCTTTTACACAGTGGAGACAACCAATAAAACACCAAGTATACGACAATAATATTACTATTGGTAACTATACATGTAACTATTGATGATAATTTTAAATCCATTCATCCATTCAATTATTCAATTCAATTTTGTTTTCACTATGTTCATTTTCCCCAACTTTTCATTAATCAGTTATCTCAAAAACATTGCACGAAACTCCTCCATATGAACAAAATTCAATCTACATTATTCATCATTCTTCAACAAGTTCATTAAAAAAATATCAACTCGAAGAACTCCTGTAGCGCATCCGTTTTGAACAAACGAGAATAAGAGATTTAGAGCTAAGTTAAGACTCAGAAACCGAAAGTTATTTGACCCCAAAAACTGATGACAGAAAGAAGTTAACTTCAATGAAAAAAATAAACCTTTACATTTTAGTAGGATTCCATAGAAAAGCCACTCGGAGCCGCAGAATCACCGCTCCTCCTATTCAATATTTTTCAGCTCTTGTATTATCGGACTTTAAATGACTATAAGATAAGACTCAGAAACAGAGAGTTATTTAACCCCAAAAACTGATGACAGCAAGACTTAATTTTGACAACAACAAAAATTAATTTCAATTGGTAAAAAAAGTTAAAAAGCCACTATTAAATTCAATGCAATGTTCTCATAACAACTGATGTAGTTGTTGTATGCAACTGACTGAGGTGGGGATCTTTACATTGAAACATCTGTAATCTTTTTTTAAATCTGYTTTTAAGTAGAAGATAATTACTAACGTCATTTGCTAATGAATAAAATGTTCAAGGCATGTTTTTTTACATGAATGCTTTGCGGGAAAGCTAAGGATTGTTCCCTCTAGCAAAAAATACAATTATGAACTTCGCGCACTTGTATAATGTATAACACGGAAAGCCATGTTTCTGCTTATTGTATTCAGGCGTCTAGAAAAAAAATCATTTTTAGATATAGAAAAATCAGTTTTTCTTAGAAAATTTAACTAGGCTTCTTTGGCCTTGCATTATATGTGCTCTCAAAGAAAGCCATCTTAATGTGCCTCTTATTGCAGAATAACTTTAGATTCGATCCTCAAATACTACAATACTATGTACTTATTGACTGAGTGGGAGGGCCGTACGGGAAAATATTTGGCTCGAGGTCATGTCGTACGGACCGAGCGCAGCGAGGTCCGTACAAATGACCGAGAGCCAAATATTTTCCCGTACGGCCCGACCTAACTCAGTCAATAAGCATTTTATCATATGACCCTCACGAAAATAAAAATAATTAAGAAAAAGAAAGCGCGCGGATTCGAGCAGGGCCGGAMGGGTTTTTCCGGCCCGCTTACGTCAACCCGTCCGGCCCCCATCACGTGACTTTTTCCAATGGTTTTATTAGAGCGCGCGAGCAGGGCCGTACGGGTCATATGATAATAATAAAAATCTTTATTGGGAATAGGCATCGTCAAATAATAGGGTTTTCTGTAATATTTAAGGACAGTAAACAAGGGTTTTTGTGTTTACAAAATGCGCAAAAATTTGCGAATTATGATGTCATCTTTCCACTCCAAAAAGTCTGATTTCTTTGTTTTGTTATTGTTGTTGCAAGTTGTAGCTGTTTTGTAAAAGCGCACTATGTATAATTAATTTTAATAGCCCAACCAAAAGCGGATCTTATTTAGCTTTTTGCAGTGTATTCGTTGAATGCTTTAGATCAGAAGCCATTCCAATTAGCTCCCTTTTCTACTTTGCCTTAAGCACTTGGGAAGCCTTTAGTTAATATGGATGTAGCCCTCAAACAATTACTATTCTTTCCAAGAGGTTTGAAAGAGAAACTAATTGCACTCCAGGTACAAGACAGAGTCTGAAGTTCCTTTTATAAATTAGCGACTCAGATTTTTTTATGATAATACTTTGAGGAAATCATTGTGTTACCTGTTGAGTGAGCGTCTAAGATCTTGGTCTCACACCCTGTGCTTTTGAAAGGGAATGCGGAAAGAAACAACTGTGTTTAGACGAAAAACAATTGTTTTAGTGCCCTCCAGTAAGTTTGATGAATAAAACTGCATTTGTTTTTGTCTTTTGCCAAACAGTTTTCAGTATTTTATCATAAGAAGTAAAGGTTTTGTTCTTTATAACAGGTTTTTTTCTTTTTGAAATACTAGTTGACATCTTGCCAAGAAAACGCCGTGAGCGGAAATTCCATTTTCAGACAACCAAACATAAACCCAGTGTGTGTAAAAATTTAAAGAAATGAATTATAATCGATGAAGAGAAAATTAAATTAAGATTGCAAAATGAGATATCCTGAAGAAAAAGAAACGATTGTTTGTTTGGTTTGGAAGTTATAGTAATTTTGGGTTGATTGGTAACTGCAGACTATTTTAGTCATCTTAGTTTTTTATCAACATTTTTACGATAACCTTCGCTCATATCCTAAGTAATTTAAGTTTTGGAATTTTCCAAAACGGAGAGTACAGATAAACGACTTTTTCTTAGAGAAAAGCGAAAGAGAAAAGGAAATGTTTTCAGTGATTATTTTTTAACAAAATGAGCCGCATATTGACGAGTATATGAATCACTGACAGGTGGTGAAACGTCTGGCTTATCGAGAAAACGTCATTAATTTAAAATAGAACAAACAATATTTATTAAGCCAAAGGCAATCATCGAGGATTTACTATCAAATATAGATAAAATAGCTAGATTATCCTAAAGGTTAATTATAAATATTAGCAGTATAGAACTGAAATGACCTGAGTCTTTTGTTTGCGCTCTCGTTCTGCCATTTAATGAAATATGGATGACAAACTAAGCTCTGTGTGTTTATTTTACATATTAAGAAAGTGTTTCTAAACTCTCTCCCCTCTATCAATTATGCTCTAACTGATGAGCAGAATGTCTGTGAAGATAAAAGCAAGATTCGCTATCATTGAATTGTAACGAGAATATGTTATTTTTAGTTCATAGTTTTGTAACTATTCAATCTTGCAACTTTTAACAGGATTTTAGGAGTCCTATTAGTGATAATTTAGTTGAAAGAACGCGGAAAAAGATAGAGCGAAACGAACGGTTTCTTTGACAAAACATTAATAATAAGTATAATATTAAAGGACAAAATTTGTCAGCAAAAATTAGTAAAGAATTTTCTTCACTCCTTCGCAAATTTTTCTTGAAAGATCTAATTAGCTATAAAAACAATAAGATTTGAGTGGAATTTGTACTTACATTGCATTTGAAGTTTAGTGGCTTGGTTAAGTTCTTTTGTAGAAGCCGATTAAGTCAGTAAAACTTCGCGAGGGACCCCCAAACTCACAGACGAGCAAGTTAACAAACACACTTTTAATGTCAGGCTCCGCTTCCCAAGTGGACTGAAATTTGTTTAAAAATTCTCAATTCAAATGCGAAGGAGTTAAATGTCTGAGTAGCCTGGTTAAGAAATGGGGGATTTATATATGATTAAAGCTGATGTGAAATTCATAAACGCAGCAAGAGCTGGCTGAGTATGCCGACGGTGTTCTTGAATCGCCGTATAATCCTCTTTGACTGAGGGATTCAAATGTTCAGCCCCTTTGACATAAGCACTTTTAAAACGTTTCAGTTTGAGACACGATCAGGCCATCACTAAAACCTTAAAATCCTGAGACGTGAGGATCTTGTTATACTAAGGCACGAGGTATTGAGTGTATCCTGTGCAAAGCTTACCTTATCTCTACATAAATATTGAATTTCATACATTTTTAGGTTTTCTAATCAGCTGTTGTCGGGGATAATGATCGATTTTAAAGCTTTCAAGTTTTTTTYCCGTTCATATATCTCGGTATATTAGCTTAGAGGACTTTCTGCGCGACCAGAGACAGGAAAAGAAGACTGTCTGATCCTGGCTTAGTTTTGAATAAAGAACTAGAGTTTATATAACCATCCTTTAAAATAATAACCGATTTTTTAAGATAAAGAAAGAAAAACGATACAAAACCCAATACTAAAAACAAGCGAACAGGCATCAATGCAAAACAAAAAGGCAAAAAGAAAAGAGTAATTGAAAGAAAACAAAAAAGGGAAACTATGAAGAAATGAAAGAATGAATAAATTAATAAATTAATAAAATATGAATATGAATGATCGAACCTTTTTACAGACGAACGAGCAAAAAGGATGACTGACCGACTGACCGACCGACCGACCGACCGACCGACCGACCGACCGACTGACCGACTGACTGACTGACCGACTGATCTACTTACTGAAAGGAAAGGAAATAGTTTACTTAGAACCGGATACTCATTAAAACCTTTTAGTTTAGTTAAACTGCAATAATCAAGTGACCTCGCAAATGTGGGAAATGCAACATCATTCAACTTCGTCCTAAAGCAAACAGCTTTAATTTATTGGTTAAATTAAGTATGAGAGTTTATGGGTTAGATCTTTTTATTCTTGTCAACACAAACTTGGTTGGGTCTGCCATACACTAATGAATGAAACCTTAGCAATATCAATAGAGTGCGCAATTTACTGTGTTTTGATTGGCTAATGAAAGATCGTGATTCATTGGTCAATTGGATATGACTGACGGAACCTTCTGAATAAAGTAGACAGTTTAATGTGTTTTGATTGGCTAATGAAAGGCCATGATTCAGGATAACTAGGATAACACTGATTTACTCAAACCGTTGAAATTCTACTGGCATATTACTGAACGTAACAAAAAGTTGCTACTTGACATACGGTAATGCCTGGAACCTTCTCAACATAGAAAGGGTATTTTTCTGTATTCCGATTGGTTAATGAAAGATCGTGATTTATTGGTCTAATTTGTTGGTCACTTGGAAAACACTGATTAATCATTTTCACTGATACATCGCTACTCCGTCCAAACGAAGAAGCTCAAGTTTAATTTGAAATTTTAAGCCCCGATTGTCAATGAATGCTTTTTGCTTTATCAGTAAACTGCAATGTGTATGCAATAAAGTGAATTTACTCAAACCGTTGAACCTGATTCACCAATTTAAAATTATGAAGAATTGCACGAGTGAATAATAATGTTAAAACTTTTACTTAAGATCAGCGTTTCACAATAGAAAACTCGAGAATTGCATTTGTTATGAATTAGCGCAAGGATAATTATTGGAAAATGTATGGGGGAAAAGGAGATATGAAATCGGTTAGATTTTAATAAAGATATGATGTATCTTTATATAAGTCTGATATATTATTTTTGATGGCTATGAAAAGAATACATATTAAAAAAGAGTCAGGATTGAACTTACCCCGATTTTTTAGCTTGAAAATATGCCGTTTCTTTGCATTGTTTTAGCAAAGTTTTGCAGAGAAACAAGTAAGTAGTTGCTGGTTAACCAACACAGATATCAAGACCTATAACTATGATCATCGTCAGTCATCGTGCCATGAGATACCAAATGGCTGCCAGAAAGTTCCCGACTAATGGCAAGTATTTACGACTACATCTGATTGTTGTTTGATCCTTATACTTAAATACGAGGATAATCTTCAAGGTAATTAGCATTACCTCGCAGGTTACTATGGTAACAACGATGAACAAAAGAGTTAGCCTGAAGTCAAACTCAAAAGTCAATGTCGGTAATTGATTACCTTTAACTGGAGGTATTTATCATTTTTACTGTCTGTATTTAAATTTTTGCTTTATTATCTTATCTAGTAAAGCAGCATATTTTGATTTTTCACTTTCATTTTTGCTATAATTGTCAAGGTTATAATATTCAAAATATCGCTCAATTGATTTTTTAACAATGAACTGAGGCGCGTCCTAGATATAGTATATAGACCAAATATTGACATGCTTAAGGGATTTCCTTACACACCATCTCCCGAGGATGAAAGAATAGTCCTTACCTCACATTAGCAGGCCAGGGGTGCGAAGCAAGAAGTTATATTTTATAGAGCAATCCCTAGAGCGGCTTTTCGTTAGTCTATCTATGTATATTAGGTGTCAGTAGTGTTGGGATCTAGTGAACGTAAAGTAGGTGTCATCAGTGGGATCAGTACTATCTGTAAGGTATTCTATTCCAGGTAGTGTTGGTGTCATCTGTGCGATCAGTACTATCTGTAAGGTATTCTATTCCACGTAGTGTTGGTGTCAGCGGTGGGATCAGTACTATCTGTAAGGTATTCTATTCCACGTAGTGT